CAAGGAGTCCTACCGATTGTCTACGATTAAGAAACTGAAGTGAAACGAAACGTTTAACGGATGTCCTGTGTTCCAAGTGGGAGCAACAGGAATAGATGGATGGAATGCTCGTTGAAGATTCAACAGGAAGTCCCGTTTCTCCCGAATTCCTTCCCCGTCCTTTTCGTTTGTCCTCCTTCCCCTTTCTTCCTCAATGTCCTTTACATGGGTAATAAAAATAGGGAACAGGCTTGTAAAATTGCCATCTCGTCAGTAAACAACTACAGGAATACACGGCGTCACATCTCAATCGATCATTTAATTGTCAGACATAATACGGCCGACATACATAGCCCTCATTTCGTAAGCAGTACGAATAAGTGCAAGAGTCTCCTATCGCTTTCGTTACTCCGGCACAGCACAGCGGCAGTTTTGGTTTGAATACAAATATTGTTCGATTGATTGCTTGCGGCTTTTATGGTAGATTCAACTTTATTGCTTATTCGCAACTGTCAAAACATCAAACAATTCAAATCAATACATTAACTGAATATGAAGCCAATGTAGCCCGCATACTGACAGCGGCATTTCCTCCTCATCAGATGTAACGGTTATGCTACTACAACGCATCTCTGGAATAGCGTTCATGAAAACCTTATACACAATCTCTAGCCAACACAGTTTACGTTCTTCTTGCTTTCTGAGGGAGAAAGTAAATTTGTATTGATTCCTTATTAGTTCATTAGCCTGTTTCAGCTTCTGAACAGGAGGGCCGTTTGTGAAGAATGTGGCTTAATCCTTGGGAGTCATTTCGAGAACGGATAAACCTTGGGTTGGGGTGAGATTGAGCCCACTTTGTACGTCACCCACCAGCCCCGGATGATAGATGATAATGAGTGTGGAACAATAGGTGGAATGAGAATTGGCAGGGGAAAAGATAGTACTTGGAGAAAACCTACCCAAATGCCACTTTGTACACCACAAAACCCATATGACCTGATCCGGACTAGAACTCTAGCCGTCGCAATGGAAAGCCGGCGACTAACCGCCTGAAGTATGGCACGGTCTCCCTGAAGCAGGATCCTTCTTGAGAAGCTGACCCTCATACAACTCGTCGAGAAATTTCCCGAGTTTTATGAAACTCAAAGGTTCAATCCCTTGTTCACAAGAGCCATCAAAAGTTCCTATCCTGAGACAAATAAATTAAGTACACACCATGACACAGGGCAGAGATGTTTTGGAGAAACAAATCCCCTTCCTCGTAATGGCTGAAGAGGAAGCAAAGCGACAAAGGCCGTCCGCCGACTTGCCACCACCGCTGCCCGGGTTCGATCTCAGGTAAAGTCATATGGGATTTGTGGTGAACAAAGTGGCACTGGGGCAAGTTTTCTCCAAGTACTTCCGTTGTACAATTGTTGCAATGTTGTTATATTCCAGGGGACATATCACCGGCCTCCAAGCAGTTTACTATATGTAGACAAGTCTTGAATATACCACTACATGTCCGCTGGAATATAACAACAACATGGCAACAACTGACTTAATGATATGCAATATCACATGAAGGATTTTTAACAATATTTTATTCCATAACTTTCGTTTTATAATAATTTATAATTCATTGTATTTTTATACCTTGTATTTTACAATGTAACAGTTATCAAGTATAGAGCTTCACTGTCGCAATGAAATTGCAGTCCAATAGTCTGTGAATATAGTAATCATGTGTTCTGCCTGATGATGGCTTTGAAAGCCGAAACGTGTAGCTAAGGTAATGTTGACCTTGACCGTTATGTTGTGTTAAGACGGACTGCAACAAAGAATCGAACTCCCTGTTTAATATTCCACACTCCTGGGTTAGGGGGAAACACTGCCTACTTGTACTAAATCCGATTTCCGCCACAATGTCTCTCAACAGGCCGACCGTAACCTTTGTAATATTGGACGCCATGATTTCTAAAACACTTCAGCTTCTTTATATTGCATCGTATTAATAGGAAAAAAGACATCTTTGCGAAAATCAATTAAACTAAATCAATAGAGGCTTCAGCTTTAATCGGAGAGGTCTACTGAGACGACGGAGATATTCCATTTAAGAAATCTTTTTTTTTTTCAGTAAAGAAAAGAAAACATCTGCGATAATTCCCATAAAGATTAAATGTCTGGCTTCAATAAGCTGTGAGCAATCATGAGTACAAAGCATAATATCATAGCAGCTATAGTGTACAACAAAGACAATTACTGCTGATGATTCTAGGATTAATAATAGAATTTGTGCAGTAACTGGTCCCATCGCGGTAAAAAAAAAATATTATCTTTTTCCAAGAATTGTATTTTTACAATTATATCATCCTTGTGTTACGTTAATCAGTAATGGAATTTCTTATTTTCTACACCACAAAACCCATTCAGTCGACCCTTAAATACCACCAGTGGGACTCGTTCACCAATTGAGAAACATGGGTCTGTAGCGTGATATCCTTATAACTACCGGAGTGGTGTAGCACGAGCTACAGTGTTCACAATGACTTGACACAGATACATTACTTGTACAGAGTCTTTCGTGATTTGTAAACTAAATCTGTCCAGTTTTGGGTAACTTCTATGAGCACAAACCTTGAGCTCGTCGTTCACAGATTTAAAACAATGAAACGCATGCTTCAGTATTATTTTCCATCTATCTATCTGCCTATCTGTCTATTCCTGCCTTTGTTTATATATAGATTACGTGTTTTTAACATAATTTTCCTCTTAAACTTAGAAGTGGACAGAAATAAATATTGTCACCTGTAGGGGTGACTATAGACTTGAATGGTTGAATTTATTGACTCCTTACTCACACAGCTCGGGTCTACTGGAAATACAGCACTAACGCTGATCTATATACTTTACAGTTTGCCGTTACACACACAATAGATTTCTCAGTCTTCAATAGTCGTATCCTGGCAAAGGATTTATAACAGTCTCACTGTCACTTTAAATTACACACGAAGTTTTCTTTTCATAGCCTAATTCCTTTCTTGCCATTATTCTGCAACTGCCAATTCCTAAGACTCGACTCAATTCAATTTCTGTTCCCAAGTTCATATCCTGGCAGGCTGGCGTCTCGGAACCCCACTACACTATTTCTTTATAACAACTTTGCAAGGACCATGCAGAAAACACAGCCTCTATAACGATAGTAAGGCGTGGTTACAGCGCCGTTGCGTAGCAACGGAAGTTATTCGATTGTTGTTTGCGTATTCGTTGCAGCAGGAATTTGTTTACCGAGTCGTTGTCTAGCAATGAATGTCTATTCTGTCTTCACTATTCCGGCTTTACGGTGTCATGTCACAATACCATCTCTGGTTACATCCAACCTTATTAGGAAAATTATGCTATGATTCTGTCAGTTGCTTCAACTGATGAATCATGTTGTTTTCAGAGAGACGTGAATATAGACAACCAGTCGGATTTTTCTGTACACAATAAATTTTTATTAACTTTGTGCGCTGAGAGGTGAGTGAAGATGCTTGTAATAATCGCAAGGAAAATGTTACAGCGTACTTTAGCAGGTCTCATAGTCTGGCCTGAAAACTTGTATTCATTCCGAGAATGAATGGTGCTACACCACTGCGGGTGCTTCTTTTCATTCCATGTTGCCATTAGCGATGAACACATAATTTTATACATGTATACAATGATATGACAGATATGATGAACAGAAACGGACTGGGGGCGACACTCCCGTTGTATTTCATGTTACTTTTCCCAGGGCTTTAGTCGATCCATGACGGTTCAGGGCGACACGCAGGTGATTTTTTGTTAGTAGTGGAGCTCCTCCTTGGCATTTGTTTTAAAGACAGTTACATCAAACATAGATTGCATAGGCGATTGGCAAGGGGAGAGCAAGTTCTCCCTTTCTATGGTTTAAGATATGGAATATACACCTCTAGAATCTTAGAAATATTATATGACTCTAATAATTTTATTAATGATTTTATACAAATTCAGAGATAGGGAATTATTTACTCTAGTAATAACCTTACTTATTTAATTTGTTAGAATGAAATGAAATAAAAGTGAAGTCAGAACAAATAAAAACTTACATGACAGCGGCAGCTGAACTGTGGCGATAAAAGTTCATCTTATCTTGATGTACTTATAACAACCGAAAGAGCAGATTGAATTCAATTAATGCTTGCCACTATTCAGTTCGAAATCTTTTGCCTCCTCGTCTGCTGTCTAGAAACATATAAATTGGTATATACAAAATTATAATGATGCCTGTGGTTTTGTATGAGTGTGAAATTTGGTCTCTGACATTAAGGGAGGAACACAGACTGAGGGTGTTTGAGAACAGAGTGTTGAGCAGAATATTTGGACCGAAGAGGACAAAATGACAGGAAGTTCTAGAAAATCGCATGATGAGGAGCTCCATAACTTGTACTCTTCACCAAGTATAGTTATAATGATCAATTCAAGGAGGAAGAGATGAGCAGGACATGTAGAACGCATGTAGGTGAAGAGAAATGTATATAGGATTTTGGTGGAAAAACCAGAATAAAAAAGAATACTAGAAAGACCTAGACATACGTGTATATGGGATGATAATATTAAAATGGATCTCAGAGAAATAGAATGGGGTAGTATGGAATGGATAAATCTGGATTAAGACTGGGACCAATGGAGGGATCTTGAGGGACCAATGGAGGGATCTTGAGAACACAGTAATGAACCTTCGGGTTCCGTAAAATGTTGGGAAATTCTTGAGTAGCTGAACAAGTGGTGGCTTCTCAAGGACAGCTCAGCTTCATGGAGTTAGTTAGTTCATAAATCCTACTACATTTGCCATGAAATACACTAAAAATATGAATCAGCTCTAAAGAAAATTGTATCTTCTCCTCACAGGGTCACTGAGAAACGGTGTGCTGCTTGTAATAGATGTACTGTATCCCTTATTCTTCCAGTGTTGCTTGCAAGTTTACAGACCATTCAGCATTAACGTGTTACACTGCTTAATGAAGGGCTGCTTATTACAGCGTGGTCTGTTATGGATATGGAAGACCGATGGTTCCGGTGCTCTGAAGGCACTTGTCATTGTCGCCCAGAGACAATGACCCTAAGCTGTTGGCGTCAAGAGTTAGGAGAACTTCCTACTGACCAAGTGGTACCAAAGGATGTCAGAGTCATGTGAGCACATATGCAGATTAGACATTCAGACTTTTCTCCATCAGTACCTTGGGTGTCCCAACATTTTATCTCAAGGTGTACATTTGTCCTTTTTTGAACAATTAACTTCCCCTAAAAAAACTCCCTGCCTTCTAAGCAAGCATGTTGTGAACAAATTTACAAAAGCTAGAAAATCATTTACAGATTCTATTGCACTGTTATGGTATCTTATTTCATTACAGAGACCTGGGGATCAATTTCTTAACCACTCTCCACAGGGACACATTTCAGGGTCTGACACTTCTCTCTGAACTGTAAGTAAAAGCAGTCTGTCATAAAAATACATGGCTAAACCACCAGTACACACAGCAGAATAGTTCTCATTTCTGGTATAATTTTTTAAGTTTTGATATAGAGCATTATTTAATAATGTCCATAATGTTTAATTTTATCATGAAATAACAAGTAATGTATGCTATAAGAAGTAAGTTTCCAGTTAGTAAAAATCTGTCACTGACATGCTATGATGAATGTGAATATTAAAAATGTTTTCCCTTTAATACCAAATACCTCTCTGATATTAGGGAATCAAAGTTTCATATTACATCAATAAAGTCAAGTTACTGGGCAGACACCTTCATTCAGTTGCACAAACACAGGTTATCACAAGTTGTTTTAAAGTCTGTTTTAATAATACCCTTATGTCTAGGTCTTGCAAGTCCCTCTGCAATCTTTCTCCTTAAAATGTCACACAACTTTATTCTTTCTCCATTATACTGTATTAATTTAAATATAAGAAACGCTTGTACACATATTTTCCTGTTGAAAAATTGAGGTGCATCTTAAATTCAAGGAATGTACACCTTTCTATGTTTTTTAACCCACATTGAATGACTGGATGTGTCTTAAATTTGAGGGGGTCATATATTCAGAGTAATACCGTATGTTACAACCCTTGTACTGTTCTATAGCGAGTTTTTGACCAACCACTAAATGGACTGACATTTTAATAATACCAGAAAACTTATCATATTATCAAGTAGTTTGAAGAGGCTTAGATATAGGGTACCTTTTCATTATCCAGAAAAATTAGAGGCTTTCAAATCCATCATATGCCCTCCCAACTATCAACTGCTTACCTGTTCTACACAAATCAATAATGATGTGTAAAGTAAGGATTAATGGTATCCTTTATTTAATTGTTTTGTCCAACTGTTCCAGGACTCTATGCCAGGATGCATTACATTCCTATGTTGCAATGACCATAATACACTGACAACATAAATTCTAAAATATTATGCTATTATCCATATACTATATGTAAATATATCCCTCTGCCCTCAAGGGAGAAACTGAATCTTAAGAAACAGGGGAGGCATGAACTTGGCTTAACAAATTAACTGTAGTGTTAGCAGCATTAAATCTTTGGGGTTTGCTACCAAGAGACAGTTAATTACACCCCACAGAAATGGTGTATTCCATAATTTTAAACATAAATTTCGTTAACCATATTGTAATACATATCTTAAACTTCTTATTTACATTTACCTGTTTCAGAGATCTGTTTGACAACCAGATTGATTACCTGCCTGAACCAATTTTTAATTCTCTGGACACTCTTCAGCATTTGTGAGTGGCCATATACTGTTCACAAGTTCCTAATCCATCTGCATGGATGAGTATTTTAGTCATTTCACTCAGCTGACCAGCTATTTACCTCACATATTAATAAAATGAATATTTAATCTTGAACAGGCCCAACCCAATTCTTATTCTTAGTCTTTGGAATAGTAAGTCTTGAGCAATATTTTCATAAGCATACATATTGGAATATGTAAATATTCCATATTATATTTGCAGGCATATTTACTGTAATGCCAAATTAATCATCTCAGGCATTATTTTTTATCACTCATTATGGCAGTGTATGTTATCTAAACAATGAAGTGTAAAATAAGCTCAGACTGAGTTTTAGGATTGATTCTTTCAAGGGAAATAAATTGTGAAAATGTACAGCAGGTTCAAAATTGGCTCTTCTGATGGACAGTTATCCTTCCATATTCACAACTTCGATTTTCCTGGTGAAGTTCCAAAAATAAATAACCATTTACTTTCTTTGAAAACTCAGTGACCAGTTTTGTAAGCTTTATGAAGCTTCTCAGCATCTATCCCACGTGCATTAATTGCTTATTACTTGATAAATGTGTATACACATACACATGTGTGTGTGTGTGTGTGTATACGTATATATAGTGCACTTCTTTCTGAAAACATATTCTATATTCTGGCTCTTAGTCTTTAATAAGAAGGTTGAAACATACAGTGCATTTCACAATGTGCTGTTTTCAGCCATTAACAAGTTTGCTGTATGCCACAATTGTTTGCTGATACACATATGAGCTGAAAACAAAAACTATGTGTGAATGCACCTTTGTATATTGCATGAGCATTTCAAGGAAAATAGACATCATAACTTTAGTTCAGAATTTCTTGTTATCATAGACGAAACATTTTAACATGGAGAATGTTATATTGTACAAAGTAATCACCATGCTATGCTTACATATACTGACAAAAAATAACACATTATCAATAACAGTAAATTTTTCATTAACTTCAAAAATGCAAAAAAATACATAAAAATAAAATTCAAAGCAGATGTTTATTATTTTGTTTGCAGGCGGTTACATAGGAACCGGTTGGTTGACATTCCTCAACAGTTGTTGGAAAAGTTAGTCAATCTGGAAACTATGTAAGTGAAGTGTACATACAAGTTCTGACGACCTTCTAATTATATACATTTTTAATGTATGACACAAACTCCATCCTAAGTGCAACAATTTATTGAAGTTCTTTTGTCTTCTTTTCTTCTACACTACATGTTTTGGCCATAGCTGTTACACTGCATGTAGTTTAAAATTTAAAACACCAGCTTTCTTAATTGTTCATTTCTCCTTTGTTGATAGGTCCCGATATATCAGAATCCCCTTGCTGATATCTGTCAGATATGTATAAAATCTTTGTTAATTTACATACGTCAATTTGATTTTTGAATTTTGGTATTTTTAAAATCTATAATTTAAATTCAAAATTTTTTTAAATTTTAAAATTTAAAATTCACAGGGATACCTGCTCTAGGTCTGCAGCACCGTTCAGGTATTATTCTGTGCAGGCTCCCTGTGTGCATGTCGCTGCTTATCTTTAATACACGCATTATTATTAAACTTTCACCATCATCTATACAGTTGAGATTCTACGATTTACATTGCTTTATATATACTTGTATTGAATGTCAGACGTACAGCACAATTATTATTTTACTTTTGGGATAAAAACTTTCTTTTGACATTGCATGTGTCCAGCAAAACAGGCTTCTGTATGGCAAGATTAATTTTCTTCAATTACAGTTAATGAAGATACAGCCAGAGCACCTAAATAACTTGGTAATATTTCTGTATCTAAAACATCTGTGGGGGTACATCATAAATTAAGTGGCCAACCTTATGGTAGAAAAGTCCTCTATACTCAACAAGATCTCCAGTATGGTAATTTTGGTTACAATTGCATTTTTAAAAGAGAAATCTGTAACTTTTTAAAATAGCATAAAAATCTGCATCACCATCTGATGACACACACTCAAAATGTTTTAGACACAGACTAATCATCTCATGCCTTTGACCCTTACATGAGAAGTGCTCCACAGCATTGAACAGTGCTATTCTTTTTCCTCCTCAGTGATTTATCAATGAACACACTACGACGCATACCTCAGGAACTGTTTCGATGCACTAGAAAGCTGACTGTGATCGACCTGTCAGGGAATTCCCTGGAGGATCTCCCAGAACAGATTTTTCAAGACTTAGTTCAATTGGAAGAACTGGATCTCTCTAACAACGCATTAATTTACATTCGGCCTGGTGTGTTTAAAGGTACTTATTATCTAGAGCTCCTCTACTGAAAATAGCTGAACACCCATGAAAATCTCAACACTTCACAAATAGCCATCAAGTAGATTTGCTCAGAAGAAGTGTGCATGGTTTACATTCGTGATGTACTTGGTTTATATCATAGCAGGAGATGGACTTTTCGAAAGAATAGGTTTCCTCAGTACCTCAAGATGAATGTCATAACATATGCAATGGCTTTTCACCACATTTTCCCAGTCACAATTCCTAATTATCACAGTGCACATCAACCAGAGTTCCAGAAATACAACTTAAATCCATTCACACTGTGTTCTTCTTGTTTACAGTCTGACAGGTGGCTACCAAAGCTTTGGGGAAACTTACTGTCTCTGTCTTTAGGGTATGTCACTCTAATGTCAGGTCACAACAGGAATCTGTACTGCCATGGAAACCTCAAAGCCCTCTGAATCAAAGGGTCAAGTTACTCAGTTCCTTCATCATTTTTGCTGAGGACCGAATGTTTTTTGAAATGCTGGTATCTGTTCTTTTTTAGTGTTACTGGGGTGGGACTAAGTCCCTTGTACTGCGGCCTATTGTACCAGCCCCAGATGATAAGTGAGGGTGATTGTGGAGCAATTGGTGGAATGAAGATTGGCAGGGGAAACCAAAGTACTCGGAGAAAACCTGTCCCAGCGCCACTTTGTCCACCACAAATCACACTTGACCAGATGCGGGATCGAACCAGGGCCTCCGCGGTGGGAAGCCAGCAACTAACCACTTGAGCTATGGAACGGCCCCATGCTGGTATCTAACTGCCAGACTACATGATGCCACAGCCCAGGAAACCACAATATAAATATTCACTGCTGTGAATATCTAAAATCTTACAAATTTATATCTATCAGCCACTTAGGAAATTCGCTTGCCATCTATCTAGAAATATGCTTCATAGAAATTATGTTAATATTTGTCACTGATCCCCATTAATTCACCTGAAGCGAGTGACAGACTGTATTTCTGGAGCCCTGATCCTAGGTGACATTACAAAATCCCTGAAGATAAATCATCATAAAATAACTAGAATACAATTGGAGAATACTTATATTTTGATATCTTCATATGGCAAGCTGTTATAATCTTTGTCATTTATGAGGTATTGCTACATACTAAAACAAAAGATATACATTTGCACAGATGCTTTATTACTTATTATGTTTGTCAAAGACAGATTGTTCATGTGGCTGATCATGTATTTACATGCTGCTAATTATGTTCATGGGGGGCAGGCATGAGGAAGCATAGTTGGTTGAGGCACTATGCTACAGGCCGGAAGGTCACAGGTTCAAATCCCAACGAGGTCATTGGATGTTTTTCAACTGACCTAATCCTTCCAGCCGCACTATGGCCCTGGGGTCGACTCAGCCTCTAACAGAAATGAGTACCAGGGATATTCTTGAGGGTAAAGGGCGGCCGGCGTGTAGGGCTGACAACCTTGCACCATCTATGAGCCAACTGTGTAGAAAATGTGGGACCTTCAACATCTAACAACCCTATGGGCTTCCACAGCCTGTCACAGGGATATATTTACTTTTTTTACTTTTATGTTCATTGGATATTTAGAGTCATTAATGTTACTATTCATGTACGTATCTTTTAGGAAACTTTGGAACCATACTTCTACTGCGACCTGTGTATAGTTAAATCAAGTTAATTTAACTTATTGCATTATTCTATAAGCGTAGATACCAAGTTGTTACATATTCTGACAAACTTGGTATGTTTCTTACTGATCTGACTGTACAATCATATACAATAAAAAACATCAATATATACCAACTTACTACATTATTTGGGCTGCAAGATGCACATCCAAATTTTAGAAGGGAAATTTTATGGAGAGAAAACTGCAAACATTTTAAGTATATTCAATTTTTAGGTTTTATGTAGCATCTTTCATGCAAAGAATTGCATTCTGTACTCCAAAAAATCTTGAAAAAATACAGAATGTCCAGGTGAAAGGTATCCAAAATAAAATAACTATATATCAGAAAGCATTTTTTCTACATATAGTGTTGCAGGTCATTGGGCTTAACCTGGTAGACAATGTTCATCACACAACCCCACAAGTATATCCAGTGCGGTTAAATCTGGCGACCTTGGAGGCCAAGTGATTGGTCCACCTCTGCCAACCCATCTCCCAGTCATTTCTCTGTTCAGGTGATTCCTAACATGGTGGAAGAAATTTGAAGGCGCATGCGCAAAGCCAGGCTTGAAAAAAGAAAACTTTCAGAGTTTTTCTCTCTGAAGACAGAAACCAGTAACATTTATGACAATTAGTGTTTCTGAGATATATATTATTTTTTTATTTTCCATACCTTTCATCTAGACACCCAATTTTTGCCCAAAATACTTAAGTGGATAATCTCGTCGAGTTCCTAATATTTGCATGCAAAATGTACTGCCAACTTGGACATAATTTTGTTTCATCATATCAACCAAATGTAGCCTCAGAGTACTCCATACTATACAGCAGAGTCCTCACAACTAATTAAAGCATTTTTATAGGTCTTTAGCATATTTGTATTTCCTCCTCTGTGTTAATACTGAAATGACAGTAAAGAAGCTCTTATTGTCATTTTTGATGATCAGAAGACCCTCTGTGGGAAAGTTTGATATTGATGACAGGAAGAGTTTCATTTGGGAATTTCAAACTCTTCGTGTATATACCTGTCCTCTTGGCTGTGCCATAGCTCAGGCGGTTAGTCATTGGCTTCCCATCGCGGTGGCCCAGGTTAAAACCCTGGTCAGGTCATATGGGATTTGTGGTGGACAAACTGGCATTGGGTCACATTTTCTCCAAGTATACGTACTTCAGTTTCTCCTGCCAACCTTCCTTCTACCAACTGCTCCACAATCACCATCATGCATCATTTGGGGCTAGTACAATAGGCCAATAGTGGCTGCAGTACCAAGTGGACTCAGTTCACCCCATTAATAATAATAATAATAATAATATAAATACTTATCCTCTTACTGTAGTCATATGCAGCAACTAGTAGCAAGTTTAGATGAGTGGTAACATGTTTGACTTATTTTTTTTTATTTGTTTCATTCTGGTCTGTCACACTAACAATATTATAAAGGATAAAACAATTCCATCCAGTGTGACTGTTGAAGTTTTTACTACTTCAATTCTTAACACCCTAACATGTTTTGGTCCCTATAGACCATCACCAGAGGGACATCGATATTCTTTGAAAACCACTAGTACAATTGGTGTTCTGATTGTTAAAATACATACACATACAATGTTTGTAATGCACAATATATAAAAAATCTAAAGTTAAAATTTTTAACTTAAATAACAAAAGTTTTTTAAAAACTTTAATATACCAAGATAGCCGCTGTAGTCGTGAAAACTTTAGATTTTGTATATATTATGCATTACAAACATTGTATGTGTATGTATGTATATTTTAACACTCAGAACACCTATGGTAATAGTGGTTTCCAAAGAGTATCAATGTCCCTCTAATGATGGTCTACAGGGACCAAAACATGCAAGGGTGTTAAGAATTGAAGTAGTAAAAACTTTTACAGTCACACTGGACGGAATTGTTTTATCCTTTATAATGTTTGACTTATGTTTGTGAAGATGGTTCAAATCCAGGCCACACCTGGCTATCCTGATCTATTTCATCCATTTCCTCAGACTGTGCAGGAAAATACCAGTACAGTATAACAAGTGCTCACTCATATATTCTTCTCAACTCATTAATCATATGCCACTTGACACTAACTCTGCACATGATACGCTTTTCTCAAATCATAATTTAACAACTGCATGAAAATAACTTTATTCTTCTGTATTTTCAGACTGGAAACCTCTTTCCAATGTCAAGGACCAACTGCATTATATCCTCTACCACTTATTCATCAGTCTCTTGGCTGTTCATCTCATCTTTTCCCTCTAGTTGCCGTTCCAGTACTTCTGCCTAACATTGTTTTAGTATTTAAAAATTGACTATGTCTGTAGGTTTGTATTGAAGTCATGACCTACATGATCCATTTACTCATTTGGGCAATCATATTAACGTCTTCCTTATAGGTCTGTATTCACTGAGACGCCTTCGCCTCCAGGACAATTTAATACAGGAGCTACCTGAAGTACTGGATGACTTGGAAGTTCTGGAGCAGCTCTCCTTACGAAAAAATCATCTGTCTTTTATCCCTCGAAAACTACTCAGCAATCTCAAACATCTGAAGCACCTGGACCTAACTAGCAATTGGATATCTTCAGTACATGTTCCCATCAGTAACATTAACATTCTAGATAACTAAACCAATTCTTATTACTGTGAGATCTCCAAACATATGACCAGTACCACAGTCAAACACAGGGGTAGATGAAGTTTCCATTCTGAAGACTAGTTGGTAACTCTTACATGTTCAGAATGCAGGAAGGAAATGACTAAGACAGACTAAACGTATCTGCAATAAAACTGTTAAAACTGAGTATAGTGTTCAATGGTTTTGAAACCATAAATAAATAAACAATAATCTCATAAATACATGCTTATTTCCTGACAACTTGATATCGACTGCAAATACACAGATGCATTTTAAAAACATGCTGTCAATCAACAATCGACACTCAATAAAATTAATTTGTCCTTAATTTGGCCTATTCTACCAGCCCCAGGTGAGGGTGATTGTGGAGCAATTGGTGGAATAGAGATTGGCAGTGGAAAGGGAAGTACTCTGAGAAAACCTGCCCCAGTGCCACTTTGTTCACCACAAATCCCACTTGACCAGGGCCACTGATCGAATCCGGGCCACGGTGGTGGGAAGCCAGTGGCTAAACGCTTGAGCTATGGCGCAACCCAAACAATTCCATTACTAACAGCATAAGTTCTTAAAGTCATTTAATGGTCCACCACCCTTCCACTCCATTAGACTGAAACATACTCACAGATTCATAGTGTGCTGTGTTGTCATTGCACACAAACTTTTCCAATGAACATTAAGGAAATGGCTATTTGAACCCAGTGCACCCACTCAAGGGTCAAAATTAAAAGATATATATATATATATAATTCTATAGGTACATATGTGGTAGGTTAGGAGGTTATTTGATACTTATGTACCAATTGCAGACATTAGTTGCCATCAATACAAATTTGGATTGGAAAAGTTTTTGTCACAGAATAACGACATTTATTATAACAATTTCTCCCATCCACAGCTTGATGGACAAGAATTCTCTGAACTCAGTGAGTTGGAAGAGTTGCACCTGAGCCAAAACTACCTGGAGAAACTACCAGATGGATTGTTCTTTCACATGAAAATGCTTAAAAAGCTATTCCTCTTCAACAACAACTTGGAATGTCTTGGCTCAAACATGCTGGAAGGTTTGGGCAACCTCTCCTCACTCTTGGTCAACAACAATCTACTCAGAAGTATTGAAGGCTCCGCCTTTTCTCATGTACCAAATCTTTTGAAACTGTGAGTTTAACTTACAACCAAATGATAATTTCAGTAATTATACCTACTAGTTTCCTTAATGATGTAAAGCTTAAGAACAAAGCCAACACAAAATATCTGTGTTGTTCCACAGAACTGTTGGCCACAAGGTTCCATATACTTGTCGCTGGTTTTCTAGCACAGGTCCTTACATTTAACGTATATATCTATCTTTGGCACTTCCAAACTTGAGGCAGAAGAAATACAGTAAAACCCCATTGTTATGTAAATGTCAGCAGAGAGAATAAAGACCCATATTTATCGACAACCCTCAGCTAACTTCCTTACTTACTCATGGAACTGAGCCCTTCTTGAGGAGCCACTAATTCTGCAGCTACTCAAGAATTTCTCACCATTTTATGGAACCAAAAGGTACATTACCATTTCCACGAGTCCTCCACTGGTCCCTATCCTAAGCCAGATCAATCCAATCCATACCATCCATCCTATCTCTCCAAAATCCATTTTAATATTGTCCACCCATCTACGCCTTTGTCTTCCCAGTGGTCTCTTTCCCACCAATATCCTATATGCATTCGTCTCCCTCAGTTGTGCTACCTGCCCTGCCCACCTCATCCTCCTTCACTTGATCATTCTAATTATACTTGGAGAAGAGTACAAGTTATGAAGCTCCTCATTATGCAGTTTTCTCCAACCTCCTGTCACTTCATCTCTCTTCGGCCCAAATATTCTCCTAACACCCTGTTCTCAAACACCCTCAGTCTATGTTCCTCCCTTAATGTCAGAGACCAAGTTTCACACCCATACAGAACCACAGGCAAAATTATAGTTTTGTATATTCTAATTTTTAGGTTTTTGGACAGCAGATGAGAAGACAAAAGGCAACCCTCAACATTCTGAGAAATTTCATGAGAAAACTTTCTTTACATGAACATTTTGTTTATATCAAATCTAATATCAAATTACAATGCTCACAGATTTCTTCATTCTCACCGTCATCTTCCCATATTTCCAACGTGCAATGTGCATTCCAATACTGGAGGACTTTTCCATAGCTTGTGTAGAGGAGCATCAGCATCTCTCTAGCAAATCACCAATCACATGCAGGGTCACATTACCCATTCAGAGCTACTGATTAGAAACAGTCATTTGAACCAAATTGTTTATGATCAAAAAATCATGGCAAAATTTGAAACAAAGCTGGTTACCAAGAACATAAGTGGATAATTTTTGGATACATGACTTGACTTGCAGTATATCTGAATCCACTGTACAGTGCCACATTATAATGATGTTTTACTGTATGTATCCTCAAAACAGTCAAGAACTGCTGACATGGTAATACACGCAAAAAAAAATATTCAGATATATTTTTATATCTGGATGCAAATGAGTAGGCGATATTAAAACTTGTGATGCTACAAGCCATTTATGTTTCTAAAGCAGTGTTTCTCAACTGCCGGGAAATGACCCAGTACTTGGCTCTGGCATCAATTATACTGGAACGTCTTATAGAAAAAACAATTTACCAGGCAGCGGTCTCACAAAGGTTAAGAGCTATTGCTCTAAATGATGTGTGAACAGCGAAGTACAGTGCCACCATTGTAAGTCTTGTGGCAAAGTGTTGGCATGCTCAAGACACTCCTGTCAAGTTGGGCAATGAAGTTTTGGGTTGCTTATGAAAGTGACAAACACATCAAAAATAAAACTTATTCAGATTACAGCAGATGCTGGAAAAGCTCTGTTCTTCTGCACACACTCCTGGCAACTCCATAAAAAATTTACATTCACGCCTTAAAATTCTCCTCTGAAACAGAGAAAACTTAAAACTTGAAATCCCAGTCTAATGTGCATGGCATATGAGAAATTTCTGAGCAGAATGTTCAAGCTGAGCACTGATTTCATCCATTCTCTCTTCAGCCAGCATACATTTTGATTCTCTCTCAACCAACCATTATTTACAATTCTACATATAACGTTTTTCAATGTACTCGTAGAACTGTACCATTATGAAATTTACACTGGAAACTTCTCCTTACTTTTCTAACAGAACCGCTTTTCACACAGGTATCATACATGAATACCCACTCCAATACGTAACTCTTACATGGTATTTCAACACAGGAAATAACAGAATGAAGTGAATGCTATCACGCATGTAAAGCACGGTAGCAAGGGCTAGGAATCAGTCAGCTTGCTTCATGGTACCTCTGGAACGCTCTTCTGGAGCAAAATTAACAGAAATCGCTATGTGCGTAGGATGTGGGTTTGGCAGTTCCATTAATTCTCTGAACCTCTGCAGACAGAGTTTATGGAAGAAGCATCTGACTCTTCCACCTGAGCAGCTCAACACTTTATGCGAAGTGCCAAGACGACTGCAACGTATAATTATATCACTTCCACCGATAGCTAAATCATTTTGATTATAGTGATAAACACATTAAAAAAATAGACTTTAAAGGACTCTGATGATAGTGTATGCTGTACAGAACTATAAGGTTTATTTTGGACTCTATCCATCATCTGGTATATATAAGATAAAAAACCACAACGTTTCGGAGACTGGATTTGTCTCCGTCCTCAGGTGGGTGTGATTGAGACTGGCTCTTTCTAACAGGCCAAACTGAGTAGGTCTATCTTGCCCCGTCCTCCTGAGGACAGAGACAGATCCAGTCTCCAAAACGTTGTGGTTTTTTGTCTTATGGACACGATGGATAGTCCAAAATAAACCTTATAGTTCTGTACATTAAAATAATGTTGAATAAATGTATCATACACTCATGGTCTACACACACAACAGAACAGGAAGAGCCACTCAGCAACACGGAATACACAAGCATGTATATGGCATTGCACATTGGATAGTAGAATCAGTAAATGGAAGCACAGCACTTTTCACCAACAATTTTAAACACCTGATGACAACAAATATAATTCGAAACATGTAATGTAATGTACAGAAACTTTTAAATAAGGTTAAAAAGACGCACTGTGTTATGTAAGAAACTTTTAAATAAGTTTAAGAAGGATGCACTACACATAAAACAGTGAATCAGTGACATTTGTTGAACAGTACCATACTAACATTAACTTTATAGAAATAGAACATAATGCAGACTTACAAGTTCTTAATAGTACATTCTATTGGACTACACTAACAATAAATTCATGTAACATGTAATGTGTGTTCTGGCTTCAGGCACGTGGACAGCAACAAACTTCAATTTATCTCTGCTGGATCATTGGACTTCATTCCAAAACTCAGGACTCTCACACTGGCAAAAAATCCATGGCACTGTGACTGCTCTATTCTCTACCTTGCAACGTAAGTCTATAAAATTAATCACTGAAGCTTATGAATCAGTATTACATCAACTGTCAAGTTTATTTATAACACTGATGTTAGCAATAGCTAATTGACAGATAAAATTATGGAAAACAAACAGCAGAATCAGAAGACATAAACTATTCACAATCATGTTTCATCACAAATTTCACTTCTAATGAAATACTGTACTCTCACAATTATATTTCACAAGGACATACTACTGCAGAATGCTCTTAGAAATATGATAAGCAAAGCAAACATACTCCAGGAAAGAGAATGAAGCTTCCTAGGTCAGATTACAGCAGCAGAATGCATTCATATTTTATCTCTCCATGGTCTTTGCTGTAGCATGATGTGCACTCTCTGCTTCCCTATTTAAACTGAACAAATTAAAAAAAATACCAATTAGTTAAGAGTTTTCTGAAGCCAAAATAGCACACATAAATTCTGCAAAAATCCGCTGCATGTTCATATCTGGCATCACGATGCTTTGGCATGATCCAAATGACATTCCATCTCCGTGCGGATAGTGACACACTTCTTGATTTGTACCATATATTCATCTATTTTGCTTGTATTTGGACATCATTAGCAACAATCAGCATCACTGACAGATGCCCCTCCACTTCTGAAATTCAAAATCCCATCAAAATTTTGAGTTCTGCACACTGTTTTGTCTTTCAAGTGAAGTTTTTTTTGTCATACAATTAAAACCATACAATCCTCATAATCTTTCCTTATAAAACGACTGCACATATGCAGAAAGTCTTCAATGTGGAACATGATATTGTCACATATTTAGGCATGTGACTACAGACGAGGTACGAACTGGTGACTGGATTAATTGACCGCTTGTATCCATCACTCGTAACTACACTTTACAGATCACAGACACACACAGACTAGTACTCTCAGTCTATTACAATCTCCAATAGCCGTGTCCTAGCAATGGCCTCTACCGAGGGAGATTATTCAGCTTCCCGTGCTCAGGTCCTCTTGTCAACTGACAAGTGGGTCCCAGGCTGGCAGCCATTTCACAACTTCCTACTCTTCTTTCCTCAGGCTGACTTTCAACTGACAATTGACAACTGAGCTCTCTCACTCACCAACCAGCTACTTCACATTACTTCAATCAGCTAAACTGCTGACAACCCAACTCCAGATCTCAACTAACCCTGCTTATACGTAACATTTCGGCACAAACCACATAAAAAAACACTGTTTCCATTGTTATAATACAATAATACCTCAACTGCTGCATGCATATCCATTGCCATGGGAACCTGTTTACTGAGCAATTGCCTAGTAACTGCAAGGGACATTGTCGACGTGTTCACTGGCCATTAAGCAACACATGTTCCTTCTCATGGTCAGGCACAGCAATGAGACTGCATGTTACAATATACACATCCTCCTGCCTGTGAGATTACACATCAAAGCTAAATGATGAGATTCCACAGCTGTTTCCAAAGTTTCTCTGGAGACTGAATATACTTCTTGCTATACTCTCAGACAAATTATCAGCTGTATGAGGATTAGCGCTGAATCCCTGAGACAGGAAAAAGTCGGATGGGTTTAAATCTGGTAACAAAGATGGCCACGCAAATCTTCACCATGAATATGAGAAAATATGTTGACAAGCACCTTGTTTGCACACATTTCCTTCAGAACATACAAAATAGTACTGGCAGTTTGAGGCCTCAAATCATCTTGCTGAAGCCATGCCTTACTTATCAAAATAAACATGGAAAACCATGAAAGATGAAAGTTCCAAATATGGCAATATTTGAAAATGCACACCACATTCATTGACTGTGTAACAAATTTTCAGTGAAAATCTCTGGACTTCGTGAAGACTGCTAATGTGCATTCCATTTGTTTACATGGACACCTAAATGAAAACAGGCTTCATCTGAAAAACATAAAAAAGTAAAGTTATCCCTGTGCTTAATTAATTTGGTACTATGCCATGAACATGTATGGGGGAGTGGATTTCTAGCTCCACCATTCTTAACTTCACCACTAGACAGGAGTGAGTGGTCACTTTCATGACCCTGCCACTTTACCCCTGGGTAAACAGGCCACATTACCCATTGTACAGGACGCTATGTATGAATTCTTAAATCAAATAACAATGTATGGTGAATCAGGAAAGGTATGACAAAATTTCTACATTGTATTTTTAGATGGTTACGTGAAAATAAGCACAAAGTCTGGGACTCAAACCCTACATGTCATGGACCTGGAGATCTTGGTGGACAGCATATTGAAGAGATGGCATTTGATGATCTCTGCAATGGACAATGGGCAAGCATGACCAAGTTAAGTCCACGTTTACCCATAATGTGAGCTTATCTCTGCAAAATAATATGAATGTTATTAAGTGTTAATAGAGACATTACTATGACTTGTATTTGCTACTTTTATTACCAGTAAGTTTCTATTTCACATTAGGCAACAAAATATTAAAGTAAAACCCACCACAGATATAATCTTTTCTTCTGAAGATTAATGGATCAAATATTAGAACTATGCTGTAAATTACATAATTTTCTAGAATTAAAACCATGAGAAATTAATGAGTAGATGAAGAGGTTCAGTCTCTGGAAACACAGTACACAGCAAAACCACAAATCGAAAATAAAGTTCTTCTAAATAATCAGAGATGGGGAAACTCCAAACATGCTATTGGTGCTCCATTCTCCATAATTCATAAGTTTCCACTGTTCTATTAATACGTCCTTCAACAAAGATTCAGTGGATTATAAAATCAGGTAAGCAAAACACTTTGCCTCATGGGTATGATTCTCATCGCTAAGTTGAGTCTGCTAATGAGTCAACAAGTTTAATACAAAGCATATATTCTTTTAAATTTTCATTTCATTTTAACACTATGGAATACAGAATTACCAACAACAGAAATCTCCTAAAATAAACAGTCCTAACTGTGATGCAGGAAATAAATTAAGAAGTGGTATTTCTAGTTTACATTCCTTGTTAGTTACAAGAGAAATGAAAGCATAATTCATCTTCTTATAGGCTGCCTCCAATGACACGCATCAAGTTGGATAATTTTCATAAAACCAAAATGTAAAAAAGAATTTAATTAAAAACATGGATGTATGTATATGTAATATATTAATAGCTGTTTACTATGTTTAGAAGTTGTTCAATAAATGATGGTACAACTGATATAGAGAACAAGAAATTCTCAATGGAACTCATAAATCCCAATTTCCTATTCCACAGATTTCTAGTCCTACAGATCTATTCCTATTACCACAGTTACGATACTTTATTTAATTTTTTTATAACTCATTAAGTACAGATTCTACCTACATTACATCAGATACAACCACAAAGCTTCACATTGTCACCATGATTTTAACTGTTGACTTATGATATTTCATATAGAATGATCTACGTATATCCATGGAAATTTTAGACACCTAGCTTCAACAGTTTATTAGTTTGTGCCATCAGACTGAAAGCTGAATAAAATTTTCATACAGCATGAATATTATTATTTTACATTTTTATAAAGGAGGAAAGAATTGCATTTTTTTTTTAAGATCTATTGCCACACATCATATCAGGACCCTACAATTAAGTAGCTTGTTTCATTCACACACGTTTCTGTGTCCATCATACTATTAGTGACTGCAGAAAATGAAAAGGCACAGCACTGGAGTAGCCTCCATAGGCACAATATTCATACCAAACTATAAACTGCTCAAAAGCCGAAACTATGGGCATAGATATATACAGACAGCATGGTGATCTCATACGATCAGTTCTTTCCATAAGAAAGAAAAGTGTCAAAAAATGTATAGGCACTGAATTTGGAAAAATACAGTATACTTTGTGTGTATATAGCTCAATGTCCCCAAGGCTATACACAACTGTGCAGAGAGGTCATAACACTAAATCAGTTTCATAAAATTGACACACTCAGATAACATTGCTTAATAATGTTCTGGTATTGTCCTTATCCCTGGGTAACGTCAGTCAAATAAAAGTGAAGTGCAGAACTCAAGACTGAAACATGTTTGACTGCATGTGTTAGAGTTTGTAAAAAAGACATCACGTTTTCAGATATTAAACAAGATTTTTAACGTGATTTGGTAGTGAAGTGGTGAATCAACTTCTTAAGAGAGAAAATGTTTGAGACAGATTCAAGATAAAGTTGTAGCAAAAGACAATTATTTTGTCAAATATTATATTTAAGCATCCTGTTACACTCACACAATATATGAGACAAACTCCATCTTAAGTGCAACAATTTAATTGTAGTTCTTCCTTCTTTCCTTCCTCCACGCTACATGTTTCGGCCCTATATACACCTGATGATGGCCATTTAGGGCCGAAACATGTAGTGTAGAGGAAGGAAAGAAGGAAGAACTACAATTAAATTGTTGCACTTAAGATGGAGTTTGTCTCATATATTCTGTCGAATGTTTGGCCAGATCAATATTCCAGAGAAATAATATCCTCACATAAAGCATCATATGGACTGAATATATCTACATTCACAATGCAATAATTTGTGAAAAAGTTCTAACTTTCTAACTCCTAACAAGTACTTGTAAATGAATTTAAAGACAGGGACACACAAACACACACACACACACATATATATATATAGGGAGAATATCAAATTTCAGTGAAAGAATTTTCTCTGCAGTTCATCATTATGTAATATTACCAGACAAAAAGTGTTAATATGAGCAATATCTGCAGCAGACATTACTAAAATTAGTAAAAGCCACAATACAATGAAGAACTGCAGCAACACAGTTTGCACATGATGATATTGGCAGGAGTTCCCACTGAAGTCATCACTGGTCCTTACTTCTTTTGTGACGATGCTATTACACAAGAATTTTTTAATGTGCAGTTTATCGTACTGAGTTCTCATCTGGTCACTGGCGAGTTTTTGTATTCATCACTTACAGGGAAAGTTGTCCTTGTGCTTAACTAATTAAACAACATGCCATGAAGGCATATGGAGGAGTGGACGTACAGATCCATATTTTCTTGACCTAAGCACTAGTTCAAGGTGAGTGGTCAGGTTCACGCACCAGCCGCTTTATCCCCCAGGGAAAGAGCCCCCGGTACACCTTTGACAGGAGGCTGGATGGGCCTCATAACCATTCTGGACAAAACAGAGAAGAGAAAATTCTTGACCCTATCAAGATTTGAACGCCAACCTGTTGTCCAGCCCTCAGCCAGTCGCTATACCAACTGTGCTACCACAGCTCCCATTATTCTTTCCTTAGAGTAAAATATAATTTTAATAATACTGTAATTTTAGGAGAATTCAATTTGATCATTATAGAAGAGCATCGAACCCACATAATGCAGAAAAACTGGGTGCAACCAACCATAACTTAGGATATTACCACCCAGGTGCTCATGAGATCTGCATCCAATGGAACTCACAAAGATATAATTGTTTACTAAGGATAGAATATTTGCCAAATAGTATTTTTCATTCGGAATAATACAAATTTCTGACCATGTAACACTCATACACTTTCAACTTCCTTTACAGGAGTGTCTGCAACCATTTGGTACACCTATTAAGTTTGCTGAGACCGCCTGACCATCTATTCGTGTACATGGAACTCTAGAACCAAAGAATCCATTTTCATGAAATATGATAACAGGAAAATTTACCAAAAAGATTGTCAAGCCATTTTAATTTTCATTCAGATTGGACATGTTGGACAGTCGCAATTACATGCAAGTATAATTTCAAACTTGCATTCAAGGTCAACCATGGACTCCAAAACACAACCACATTTATGAAAAAGCAAAAGAAAACCTTTATTGAGTTACACTGTGTCAAAAGTAGATTTGTTTTATTCTTTTAACATACCTCTCTATTACAACATAACTCTAAAGCATACATTAATTTACACATTTAGGTTTCATTTAGTGTATTTTAAAACTGAAGCCTTAATACAAATTATTTCTTCCTTAGCTGGCCTATACACTTTTCATTTTTCACTAGTTTGAATATAATCACCTAATCACCTAATAGTCAATAGATGCACCTCAGTTTAATATTGTTTTACTACAAAGAATCTTCAAAAAGTTCCCACACTTTTATATTTTTCGAAGAAAACAGAAATAGTGGGAGGGGTGATGGGGTATTGTAGGGTGTCATGGTGGCAAGGCAAGCCTGTTAACCTTGCAGTTAGTGTGACAGTTCCTATGAAGCAGTGAACATGGCAGCAAAACTTGAGAATTGCACCAAGGAGGAGCAACGATCTGTGATCAGTAGGTGTACCATTTGGATTAATTCATCAGCACATGTGTGCTCTTTCTCACATAGTCATGTATATGTGGACTGAAATGTTTAAAAATGGCCATACGACCATGACTAATGCAGAGTGCTCTGGGTCATCTAACCACAACTACAGCAACGCAGGATGAAGGAAGAGCCATGGAACTGAATCTTCAAAACAGAAGAATGATGGTCGACAAAACTGCAAAACAACTGAATATAAATAATGGGTCTATCTGTTCTGTGGTGCATAATAACCTCAGTTCCATGAAGTGTGTGCCAGGTGAGTACCTAAGGAACTGAGAGATGAGCAGAAGCGCATGTGCTTAGGCATTTGTTCGTGCCATTTGGCTCATTTATTGCAAAGGTGACAACTTTCTGCAATAGATCATCACAGGTGATGAAACCTGGGCTCATCACTATCAACCAATAACCAAGTGGAAGAGCATGCAGTGGAAGCATCCGTCATCACCCGTTGCAAGAAATTCAAGATGCAACCATCAGCAGGCAAGTTGATGTTGACCATCTTCTGGGATTCTCAAGGGCCTATACTTGAGATCTACCTGGTATGTAGAACGACTGTTGCAAGTGCAACTTATTTTAACATGCTACAGGGAGAGCTGAAGTCTGCAATCGACTCTAAAAAAAGAGGGAGATTGTTAGAAGGCATCCTGTTGTTGCACAACAATGCCTATCCCCATATGCAGCCCACACATTGGAAACCCTCAGGAAATTGAAGTGGGAAGTCATGAAATACCCAGCTCACAGTCCAGGTTTTGCACCATCTGACTGTCACCTTTTGGACCACTTAAAGGAGCTCTAGGAGGAAGAAGATTTCAACATTACAAGAACGCAAAAAACAAGGTCCATCAGCAGCTACATGCACAACCAAAGACTTTCTATTATGATGACATTAAGAAATTTACAGGGCACTGGGAAAATGTGTTGAAAAGGAGAGTCAATATGTAGAAATACGATGTATTTTGTTTTTGTAATCATCAATAAAATAGGGTTGTAAAATAAAAAGTTCAAAAATTTTTTGAAGATCCTGTGTATATAGTAAGAGTTCATTATAATCTTATTTCATTTATGATTCCTTCTACTGGATATGCCTGTTGAGTGTATATTACATACTTTTACAAACTTGTTTACTTTTGTATAACTATAATTATAATCAACTGGAGCACTGGGGCCTGTAGAACATCAAGCTTGAGGCCTTCAAGCTACAACCATGAGACATTAACTACTGCCCGCACGCACACACACACACACACACACACGCCCATATATAAACACAAGAAATTGATAATTCAAGACATCATATTACAGCAAACCCCCCGAAATTTAAAAATTTATGCAGGAGTCATAAATGGACCAGAAAGGATTAAGGACAAATTACTTTTAATCCTGCAATATCCTCCAGGTTGGGGGTTGAGCATGGGAACCAACACCCACACCCCAAAACATCTTTACTAACTTAGATCCTACCCTCATTTGTGATACTTTTATACAATACATTTCCATCTACAATACAACTTATTGTCCCTTTTCCTTCTCAACATGCTTCAGCCATACACAGCCACAATGAGGTGTCTCCAATTCGCTACAATTGTTACAATGTATGGTATGTCCAACTTCTCGTATCACACGTGAATGCAGTTATCTCTTAATTTTAAAGAAATTGTCCTTAATTAAAATCAATAAAACAGTTAAAATTTGATTAATATTTTGATATTTTGCTTGGGGTTGTCATCCATTCATCCAAACATTTTTTGAGGTCTCCTTGTTTGGATTTATTCATGCATCTGTGATAAATGAACCAACCAACAATTATTTGTTAAAGAAGAAACTGGTACAAAATTAAAAAAAGTAAAAATCCCTCATCTTAGAATCAATTTTAGTCATATCACGTCCGCTTCTGCAACACACCTTTGAGAAATAACACCGACTGTAGCTTTCGCCACATGATTTACATCTGATTTTATGTGCAGAATATGGCTCAACATGATTATTGCATCTACTGAAATTCTTGAATAATCCATAAGTCTGCTTACAACAATTCCTGCACTCATGCACTTTTCCTTGTTCACTTGACCTCTTTAACTCTGCTTCACAGACTTTGCTTCTGCATTTAGTATGAATCATTCGGGTATGTAAATCTAGATCAGATGGATATGAAAATGTTTTAATACAGAACTGACATCCATATATTCTCCTTGTTCTTACAGCTTTCCTGGTGCAAGCAGACATTTCTTCAGACTTATCTATGAAAGAATCAGAAGTATTATTCTGATTCACATATAAATTCTGAAGATGCATAGGTACGTCACACTTGGTCGATATCGGATCTCTCTGCTGCTGAATGTATGAACCCATACTGCAAAAAAATAAGTTATGATTTTATTTCAAAATTCTTCTCAGGCATGCATCACATGTATGCATAACAACTGACACACTATATACCTCATCATTTAAGTCCCAAATTATTCACCAGATTTTAAATAAATCTTGTAGTATGGGCCCTAATAAACATGATTCTGGTCTACATCAGCAAATTAGAATACCAACACTATTTGAAGAGTTAATGTGTTATTTGCCTTCAATATCCCTCAATGCAGCTCCAGAAATATGCTTGCTTGTTCACCATATGAAAGTTAATGCAAACCAATGGTGAAAACAGTTTTATTTTTTATCTAAATGCATTAACATTTACTAAACAAACAACTTATCAACTGTGAGATGTATAAAACAAATTAAAAATATATTATTTTTACTACTTGATATTAAAAGTTGAGCTTTCAATGATATTTACATAACATACCCTGCAAGACCACAGGCAAGTAAGTTACTGTCTTGAAATTCTGTATTTCGTTATCCTGTTGCAATTGTTTAACTTAACGCCCATGTATTTATCGTCCATCAATATTGCAACACTTGTTTATTCACCACTTAATCTTAATTTTAGTTTAATGTTTTACACTTTGACACGACATGTTTCGGCCCCAAATGGCCATCTTCAGGTGTCTTGATATGTTGCAAATATTGTATTAAATTATGTTAAAACTGCTACACTGTGTTAGTCCGTGACAAAATCACATGCTGTAATTCTCTTTTCAAGGTAAAACAAGATAAAATCCATTAAAATTTCTATTAAACCCAAGTTATTTTGGTGCATTCTATTTCATCTCACAAGGGGTGTCATCCATTGTTCATAAATGCATGCCTGTCCTGGGTGTTTTGTTGCAGCAGCTTGCCCTTCACGCTCATAGCCTACTTTTCAGTTATGTCTGCAATCTGTAATTTATAAGATCCCTAGGTTAATACTGTTTTCTAATTGTTTGCTATTGTTATTATGTTATGTTTGTTTACTTTATACTCACATGCCCCTGGTTTGCATGTTTCCTCCACAGCCTGTGGTGTTGTCTTTACTAGTTGGATGCAGTGTGTTTGTTCATGTATTTATATGCCCTGGTTGTGAGGAGTGGAGAGAGTGGAGTGTGTCAAAGTGTAAAGTGTTACACTAAAATTAAGATTAAGTGGTGAATAAACAAGTGTTGCAATATTAATGGATGATAAATACATGGACGTTACTGTCTTGAAGTTGCATTTTGGGAACTCTGTTCTTTCATGTCAAAATATGGTTGTTTAAATGAAATCTATTTAGTGCACTGCTGAAAAATATGACCAGTCAAAGGTGACCTCATGGTTGTGTGTATGAAACACTAGCAATTATTGAGAGGATGGATGCATTAGAGCAAATGGAACAGTGTAACACAGTTACATGATGGCATTCCAGACACAGAATTTGACCAAACAGAATGTATTATTCACTTCTCTCAAGGACTACGACATCACAATCAACACACAACACTACCATGAAACCTAACCCCCCAAGACCTTCATACCAACATCATGCAAAATGGTTCCAGCATGCTCATGATGGGTGTAATCATGCTGCAAAATAATGTACATTTGCATGTGGTCTGTACAGTTCAGTACACTGCACCCCATGCACAAGCTGGCATTGGACTATCCCCCATACAGCCCAGACATCTCATCATGTGACTTCCATGTGTTCTACCCCCTTGAAGGAAGCACTAATGGGCTAGATTCAAGTTAACCGTCATTTCGGAGGAATGTATTGCCTCCATCTTCAGGGTAAAGACAAGAAGAAATCCATGAGCAGGTGCAACAGACTGAGTCCAGTCGAGTAAACCNGAACAGATGAGAGGCTTCCATGACTTGCCGAGACAAAACCCCACCTCTCTGTTCATATTGTTGGGATGGAGGTCAATCTCAATGGCCTCCCTAATGACTCGATCTCAAGATATCTTCTTCGAAATGTCTTGAGACTCTTATGGCCAGTTCTATGAACAAACCGATGGTGTGGTGATGGGCTCGCCACTGCCGCCGGTCATCATGAACTTATATATGGAGAACTTCGAGGAGAGGGCACTTGGCTTGGCTCTGCACAAGCCCCGCTGCTGGTTTGGCTACGTAGACGACACCATCATCTGGCCACGTGGGCCCGACAAGCTTAAGGACTTCCTGAACCACCTAAATTGCATCCACCAGTGCATTCGGTTCACAATGGAGACTGAAATTGAGAGCCACCTCCCCTTCCTGGATATAGATATTTACAGGAGACCCGACAGTTCTCTGGGCCATACAGTGTACCACAAATCCACCCATACAAACCTCTACCTTAACACTATGTCCCACCACCACCCTTCCAACAAGCAAGCTGTACTTTCCACATTGGTGTACAGGGCTTGAGCTCTATGCGACCAAGACAGCCTACATGCGGAGTTGGTGCTCCTGGGGGACATTTTCAGGCAGAGCAAATATAACAACTGGCAGATCCACAGAGTTCTCAACCATCGGCTGAACATCAGTTGACCCGACAATAAACTGGGCTCAGTTGCCTTCCTGCCCTATGTCGGGACTACATTCAACTGTATCAGCATAGTCTGTCCCAGAACAACATCAAATCAGTGGGCCTGCCTCCAAAGAAATTATCTAGTTTCCTCCAGCTGGTCAAAGATAGTCTGCGACTAAGGACACCGGGTGTATACAGAATCCCCTGCAAGTGCAGCAAGGTCTGTATTGGGCAGACGGGCCGTTCTGTGGACATGAGGTTCAAGGAGCAGCAGCAGCACATCCGTCTCAAACATCTAGATAAGTCAGCTGTGCCTGAACACAGCATCGACTTGGAACACCGCATTCAGCTTCAGAATACCTCCATCCTCACCACAAAGACCCAATATATGGATCGCATCATTAGGGGGGCCATTGAGATTGAACTCCATCAGGACAATATGAACAGAGAGGTGGGGTTTTGTCTCAGCAAGTCATGGAAGCCTCTCATCTGTTCTCTCAAGAAACCTCCAGGACTTGATGCCAGATCCACAAGGCCATGCAGGTCCGTGCCCGACTTGCTTCGCAACCCCCAAGCTTCAGGGTTAATGCCCTCCATTTAACCTTGCCTTTTCTCACCCCCCCCCACACATACTCTATACCTGCTGTGGCCTGTTACCTGCTGGCCCACCTCCCCAGACCCTTCCCCTCCACCCTCTCTACTGATTCCCCATGTAGCCCCTCTCACTTCGCTTCCTACTCTTATACAGCTGGGTTTACTCGACTGGACTCAGTCTGTTGCACCTGCTCACACTGGTTTGCTCACGGATTTCTTCTTGTCTTGAGGCGATACGTTCTCCGAAACATCAGTTAACAGAAGATCTACACGGTGCCACATCCCAGAAGACTGCTTTCTTCAGTCACCACTGTGAAAACCTCAAATCTTACACAATCCCTGAATATGCTTCATTTGAACAAGTCTCAGATTTACAAAAGGCTAACACTTTAGTTGTGTATGTCAGCAAGGCTGATAGCAGTTATGAAGAGGCACAAACAATAGCAATAATAAACAGCAGTGGAAAATGTGCTTGAATTTCTATCGTATTACAGCGCCCACCTTGGACAAAAGAAAAAAAAAACATGCTCACAGTGTACTTCTAAATAGCAGTACCACTTAGTCACATTGTTCTGTCAAGTTTAGTGTCCTGTAATGATGATAAGTATAACAATTTCCTTTTCAAATTTCAACCAGATTTCTGCTAGTTTCACGTAAAAGTTGCAGAACTGTGTGCTAAATATTTCTTACCTAGGACTCAAAAAATACAACCTAAATTTAACCCTTCAAAGCCCAGTGGTTCTATATGTACCACCTGTTTTAATATACTAAAACTCTGCATTCTGTCCACAGAGCGTATCTGTGTGTTTCGCATAGTTGCTCATAATAATTGTTGATTGTTTACCTAAACAGCATTAACCAGCTGATCTTTGCAGTGGATATGTAATGTGTTTTTATGAGGCACAAACTAAATCCTTATGTATATGGTTTAGAAAAATCTCAGCCTTTATGGCAGTGGAGGTGCACGACTCCTGAGTTGTGAGACAGCAAAATATGTTCATTAGTCCCATGTGACTTGGAACTAAGAATGACTGTGCTAGTGAGGACCAGCAGCAATTTATCCAGCCCTCAACCTTTAAGGAATTAAAACTTAACTGAAGGAGGTGATTTCCTAGGTCTTTGTGATCAAACAAGTTCATATAAACATGTGTCAGACTTTGGACGGTTACGGTGTTATGACCGTTTTTTCATTCCCGTACACTCCCTCGTGTGAACCGCGTCTGTCAGCTGGCCAGTCGCTATTTTTAGCCAGCTACAGACAGAGTGCTCTCATTATCTCGACACTTGAGATGTACCTAAAGTGGGGAGGGTTGGTATGTCCAGCGCGGTTCACAACCAAGCGGCAGCCTATGTTGCGGCCGGCGGTGGCATTTTCAAAAATCAGCTTTAAGTACCAATAAATTCAAATTAAAGGTAATTTCACGAAGTTAACTTTACATTCATACTTTAAATGTATCATGTATTATGCTGGTTTATTATTTTGTTCCGTTTATTGTCAGTAATCATTACCTTCTATTCTGAGTTTAAAACAGTCATAACTCCGTAACTGTCCAAAATCGGACACATGTTTATATGAACTTTTTTGATTACAAAGACCTAGGAAATCACCTCCTGCAGTTATGCCCT